TTTAAAGTGCTTTCTAACCCATGGTTGAATCAGCTGACCTATTATCCAATCAAGATTCCAGGTCCATTTCACCACCAAATTGTTTATCTAGAAAAAAAAAATTGTTGACTCAGTCAACAACCTAGTGACCCAACCATTGGACCCGATCAGTTGAGTCACAATTTATATATTGTTTCTCTTTTTTATCTTTTAATTTACTTCCATTATTGATAAAAATAATTTATATTTATCACACATATTTTTGTTTAGTATGATGAATATATTAGAGATGTGCCCAAATTCTTTTACAAGATTTTATATTTTATAATTTTTTATATTGTTTATCTTTTTTTAATTTCTATTATTTGATTATCATGTCATGGGTTGACCCATTTGATCAAAACAATTCAACCACTGACCCCCACCCAAACGGAGAAACATTTTCATTTATATGTCAAATTTAAAAACATTTATTCCATTTAAATTATGGGGACTATTAAAGTTGACTAATGGGATTTAATATGTGAAATAAAATTGCCTTATATGTAAGATTTTTTTTGAAGCCCTTGGATATAAGAGTTAAGAGAGAGAAGAAAAATGCATGGGAACCAATTAATTTAAATATAAGAAATAATGAGTAAAAATGGGAACTAATAAATTAAATATAAAAGTTAATGAGAGGAAACAGGATAAACCAAAAAGTAATAGCTCAAATTAGATTTTTCACACCCACAATAAAAAGGGAACAAGCCAAAAAAATAGGGGTCTTTGAGTCAAAGAAAAGTATGAAAACATTGAAGGTCTATTCCCACTTTTGATAAAGTAGGGATTATTTATTACATAATACTTTAGTAGCATGTGTATACGAGGGAGAGAGATAGGAAAATAAATGAAGAGACAGAAAAACAAACTTATTATTCCTCATGACCGGATAATGTTGGGTATTTATTATTCCATGTCTAGCGGTATCTCCTTTTTCCTTGGATATTTATCCTTCATATTTTTAGTTTTTCCTATTTTAATTTTCATTACTTTTAAAACCAAACAAAATAACTCACATAACCAATCACTTTTAAAACTTTTCCAATTATATCTACTCATTAACTCACTATTACCTTTATCTTCTATTTCTCATTAACTCCAATTATATATTCTCATTAATCACACTATTAACTTTTCTCACTCCTATCAGTTATTCCATTTGTCTTCGTGTTGCACCCCAACTTTAAGAAATCACCAAATACCAAAAACAATTAAATTGCCTAGAATTACTTTACTCTATCTATTTATAATTATTTTTCAGTTAATTAATTAAGAATACAAGCACAAGGGAGAAAAAACAAAATAAGAGCCAAAAAAGTAGCCAAAGAATCCTAACTTGGGACAAACTCAACGACATATGGATAGTGGGAGATTACAAAGTGGTGATATAAAAAGAACAAGGGGACAGAATAGAATATATATAGCAAGGTAAAGATGATCAACAATACTTGAAAAAATTGAATTCAAATCAGCCCCCCACAACATCCCACAGCACATCTTCGCGCCGTGTATTGAGAGCATCTCCCAATAATAACATCATCATTTCTAAGATGGCAGAGATGTAATGTGGGATGTTGTGGGGGGCTGATTTGGTCTCTTGAAAATTGAAATCCAACAAAGACTTATCAATAAATTAAAGTAACCACTGCACGTATATTTAGAAAAAGGAAATGGGAAATCAATGCTGACTTCCTATATGGAGTTTGGCATATTGGTGTTTATCCATTGTTTGCATTCAAGCATAGTCAGCAAAATGTCCGATTTTCAATCTTTTTATAATACATGTTTTTGATACAGATATGTGCTGGCTAGGCATTCAAGGTGCTATACTTTTTATTAAAATTTTTGTAGCAATCAAATAAAGATAAAAAAAACAAGTGGTTTGCTTTTTCATTTTCCAATGTGCCACATCTTAGGGGAGTTCTAGCATTCCCCCAATTGTAAGAACATTAAATTGGCATTCTTACGGTTGCCCCTACTATATTATTGCACTAGCATTTTTATATAAAAGGGCATAAAAAACATGATTTTCCCCCAATTTTCGACTTTTTCTTGACTAAAATGCATTCCTTGTTTTAAATTTGGTCTCTATTGTGCGGATAGAAAAATGGTAAAAGACTTGCCATACTTAGAATTTTCATAATTTGACTTAAATATACCTTAAGTTTTTCAAAAAGACTTAAATATTAATATATTTCATGGGCTGATTCCATTGGACTTAAGCATATCCTCCATCAATGAAACATTACATGAAATTCATAAATTTTGAAAATCCTATTTTTCCCTTATGGACAGAAACAGAAGAAGGAGAAGTGAGCTGGAAGAAGAAGAAGAAAGAACGTGAGAGGAGAGAAGAGAAAAATATATAATACTAAATATGGCTGCAAAAAATAGGAGAGAGAGATTGAAAAGTGAATACTAAATATTTGGTTATAGGAATCAAAGCTTCTATGATTTTTTTTTTTTTCATTTGAAATTCTAGATTTAATGGTAAAAAAGAGAGAGGGGATTGTTTCAAGTTCCAATTTAAAGTCCCACTTCCCAAAAGAAATTTGTTTTGCAGAGCAAGATATTAACACCCAATAGTTGGTTCGTTTATCTTCAAATCCTAGGTGATCATTTCCACGGTTTCAGGAGTCCATGGTACAAGAATATTCACATATAGAAATGATCAAAATTTCAATCGTTATCTCCTTTTGTGAGCATTGTCATGTTTCTTTCTTTATTTATGTACTTTTTTCATCCTATTGTTGGGGAGTGGAGATCTCTTATGCTTTGGCATATTTTATTGAGATTCCCAACATCCACATGAGTTTAAAAAATTCAGGATACATTTTGATAATTTGAAATAAAATAAAGGATAAAAAAGGCACAAGGTATATTTAATTCTTTTTAAAAAACTCAAGGTGCCTTTAAGTCAATTTATGAAAACTCAGGTCTCAGGGTATGTTTAAATCTTTTACCCCAAAAAATATAATCTTAATACCACTTTTCAATTCATTATAATCTATTACTTCTCATTTAATCTTAGGCTATGTTTGGTTTGAAGGAAAAGGTAGGAAAACCTATATAAGATTTATAAAGATTTTTCTACCTTTCCCTTCCTTTCCCTACCTTTTCCTTCAAACCAAACATAGCCTTATATTTAAGGTTTTATGAACTACACCCTACCTATTATAGCAACACTTCTCCTTTTAACCAGGCAAACTATTCAAAAGTGAATCTAAATTTATTCCTCACACTTGGAGCCACACATTGAGAATATCTCCCTATTACTTCTAAATTATCATTTGTGGAGAGATGTTCCTTTTAACACTTCTCCTTTTAACAAGGTTGATGTAAGGGGCATTCTGTGATGAACAAATCCGAATATTGTATATGAAGCATAGTTAATCAAAATGAACTATAATTCACATGAATTAAAACTAGAGGGAGAAAAAAAAAGAGGCTCCTACAATTAGGAAGCACAGTGATTTAAATGTAGACATTGGAGTCGTTTATATAGTTTCAAAGAACAGAACAATAAAAAAAAAAAAAAAAGATCAGAACAATGATCATGGCCAATATCCATTTAATGAAAGATGCCTGATGTTGACCTGTCCTCTTGCTCTCTCATACATTTGTATATTAATTGATGGGTTCCTCATCGGTTGGAAATGTTTTGGTCATTTGTAAAACAGCTATTACCCAGGGGTAGGGGTATTTAGGGTATATTAAGATGTATAAATATGAAGAATAGACAAATAGGGAGTGAAAATTTTGACATATCATTATGAACCTCTTAGGGCCGGGGGTAGTCCAGACTGTCCAGCAAGGGAGATTTTACACAGTTGATAATTCCCCTATTTTATTTAACACATTATTAACCTCTTAGGGCCCGTTTGGTTCGGGGTTTTGAATTGGAACCATTTCGATTCTAACTATTTGGTTGGACAGAATTGGAATCTCATTCCTATTTCTACTGGAATAGTATTTTTTTATTTGAGGGAATTGCCATTCCCTCTCCCTTTCATGGGAATGAAATCTCCAAATTATTTCAATTCTGATTCAGATTCCAATCTAAATCAAATAGACTATGGGAGTAGACGATTCTGATTCTAGCCTAAACTAAACAGACTATGAGAATGGACTATTTCGATTCCAATTCTAAAAAAAAAAGTTAATTCTGATTTCAACTACAAACAAAATAAGGCCTTATTTTATAAGTAATTGTAATAGAACTAAAAAATCCATACTACCAAATGAGAAAAACTAAAAAATCCATGCTTAAACTGTTAGATTTTAATCTCATAAGAGATTAAATCCAATGGGTTTGATTGGTCAATTACATGAGAAATTGCACCTGCACACTTGATTGAAAAATTGGTTTTTCTCTTACAAAACCCTATTTTGAACTTATCCCACATTGGAAAATTATAAGCTTTGTTTTCAGTATTTTAATAGGAGTTGATTTACACTCCTTAGAAATAGTAGAGGAGAGTATGGGGGTTTGATACCATGCAACGCGTGCACGCGCGTGTGTGCGGCGCAATGAGGTGCTTTAGAAAGCGCACTTTGCTTGCACTCGCGTGGCTCGCAAATGGTGGCTTTGGTTTTAGTGCGGTGTTGACTGTTGATCACCATTGATGAGATCAACGATCACGATTCGATCGGGTGTGATCAAGAGGCACAATTCAAAGTTAACAATCATTAATTCAAGGTGCCTTCTCTGAACCAATACCTACATTTTCTTTATACCTATTCATAAACTATTTAAGGAGCATGAATCAGATTTCAAAAACACACATTTTCGAAATCCACTTTATTTCTTTTTCTCAGTCCTGTCTGCTACAGTATCATAGAAGGTTTCTTTGGAGATTCTTCAATTTTGCTGGTTGCAGATTCTCGCCCAAGACTCTGTTGTATCCTGAGAACGGATTTGCTTGTAACCCAACAACAAATTCGGTGAAACTGAGTGGGGGCAAATAACGTTCTAAAGACAATTTTTTTAAATGCACCTTAGAACTTCTCCTCCAAATTACAGTAACCCCATTTTCCAACATAAACATGATATATATGCTAGCCAACTTAGACTTCATGTTCGTATCATTATTATAGAAAGGTGAAGAAAAAAAAATGTTTTCTGCCCTTCTTACCTCAAAATAAACGAAGCTTAAAGCCCCAACCGCCGTTTCAACCAATAAAAAAGAAGCCCAAGCTAAATAATCAGTCTTTAGTCGGTCGAATGATGATTGTCACTTGATGGATGCAGCCTTGTGGCCTAATATTAAAAGACCATTTGATATAGGTCGGAACTGAGCTTGGGGCTTTGGCATGTTTAATAGGCAGCCCAAGAAGCCTTTCTCATCGTACACTTGAAGCTACAACTGGGTGATTCTCTTCTTACCAAAAGGGCAAAAACGGAAGAACCGAAAGAAAAAGAAAAGAAAAAACAAGGGTCAAGGGACTTTTGTCTTGGTCCTTGATTCCTTGGACGAGGCATCATCACTTGCAGAAAAAAAGGTGAGAGGATGATGAAACGCGCCATGTTGGTTACCATGGTGCATACAAGTTTGATTGATGGGCAAAAGAAAAAAAAAAAAGGAAACTCTCTCTCTTTCTCAGTCTCCGTCTCTCTATGATAAAGTAGTAGATGAGACGGCCGGTGGTGAGTGGTGAGCGATAAGTCACATCTCACGGATCTCAGAAGCGTGGCCATTGAGGTTGAGGGCCTTGTGTGGTGCATTATTGCCCATCTTCTTGGGGTCTCCCATCACAACCACCTCAGCCAAGCTCATCTCGCCTTTGCCCATCCTTTCTTCCTTCAGCCTCTGGGTGGACTTGTAGTAGGCCGCGTACAGTATCAGCTGAACCAGCCCAAACAATGTGCCCAGACCATTTGGTATCTGCCACATTTACCACAAATCCCTTGTTAGCTGTTATCACTATATATATGAGAGAGAGAGAGAGGCAAGTTTAGTGAACTACAGTAATGAAAAGGTCGAAGCGGATGAGAGCATAAGTCGTCCAGCAAATGCCGTTGGCAAAGGAGGCCAAGGACAGGGTGAACGGCATGTATTCCACGCTCTTCGTTGTAATTACGAGTTTCTGAAATCATCATCACCATCGTCATTAATATAAGCAGATAAGATAAGATAAAAAGAAGGAATTTTCTTTTTGGTAGAAAACTAAGGAAGAAAGAAAATTGAGGTAAGTAATGCTAATTAAAGGGTACAATAATGGCGAGAGGAGATGCATGCATGCACATGGTTTTGGTTTTGAACTTTTGATTGAGAAAAGCGCGCGAGCACTAACCATGACCGATAAGGGAGCAACGTACATCATAGTCCCAAAGAAAACACAAATGCTTCCCACGATGAGAGAGCGACGGTCATAGGTGTGAGCCAGCGTCAGAACTAGAACAGCCACAGCACCCACGAATACGAACTCCGCAATCAACAGTAGTATTACTCTGAGCCTCTTTCTTCCATCTGAATGAAGGATGAAGAGGATGACGTATGTGAGTTCGATGAAAGTGCCGCAACCGTTTATGGTTATGACTAACATGCTGTGAGGATGCACCAGTGGTAGCCCATACACCAGCCATAGCAGGCAGTTCAGAAGGGTTGCTAGATATGGCACCGGTGAGAACTGCTCCACCGATCCTTTCTTCCATATCTGAACAAAAGTTGGCCTGATGGATTTCATGAAAGAAACAACGTGTTAATTAATTCCGTGGTTTCCAAATAATTCACATGACGTACATTAATTAATTCACCGTAAATTAAGCTTAATTGCTTACACTGGTGACAAGAACAAACACAGTGCAATAATGTTTCCTGCAAAGAAAAAGAAAAGAACCCATAATTGTCAATTGGTAACCATGTGAATATGACACCACATACAAGGATTAACACTAACAGAGCTAGAATTCAGAGAGAGAGAGAGAGAGAGAGAGAGACTAAGATTAATCTCTATTACAACAAATTAAGACACCCACCCAAAATCCCTACGGCGGTTCGAATGGTATCTACAGAAACCATGGTTGGAATTGGAAAGGAGGAGATAGAAAGTGGTGAAGCGAGATCGAAGGAGGAAAAACAGAAAAACAAAGGCAGAGGCAAAGGCAAAGGCAAAGGCACGGATAAGTATGTTTGACTATAGGACACCGTCTGAAGAAGTCTGAAGCAGAAGTAACGGTTATATAGAATGTGGTGAGGTTGGGGGTAGGCAGTAAAGCTCAGAAGCCTTGTACCCACAGCTTTAAGACCTGGTAGGTCACCTGTTTTCCATGTATTGGCTCATTGTGAATAAGTATAACACATGGAGAGAAGGAATTAATATGCTGAATAGACCATGGCACTGCCTTCAAGATTATCAAAATCCCAGCGTACAGGTTTCGGGCGGTGATTGCTTCTTCCATGGTTATTTTAGGGAACAGACGTTGCCAAACACTGCATTCAATGAAGGCTTAGCCAGAGCCTATGTGGAGTCTGCAGCAGTTAGTAACTGAATTTAAGTTAAGCTTATCCATATCCACACTGGGTGAAGTAAGCATATGTAACAACAATGCACCAGGCCGTGCTGCAGTGAAGTTCCGATGACCGTTCATCTTAATCAATGCATTTGATCGATCTTGATTCAAGATTATATTTTCGTCTTCATCCTCTCTCTCTCTATGTAGGTTGGTCATGATTATTGCACTGTGAGGGGACATGCATTTTGTGTTGTACATCAGTTCACCAACATGAACATCAATCTGTGTGTGTGTGTTTTTGTTTATGAAGATTCAAGAGCTGAATCGTGAACGAAGTATTAGTCTATTGTGGAATGAGATTGATCCAAGTGCCTAGAACTGTTTGATACGCGTAAGCGGGAAGGAGAGGAGTGATTCCTGGTCTCGTCATACTGCTGCACGGAAATGGGTGGCTCGGCTAGTCGGCTGCTTCCTGCGCGCGCGCGTAGTTTGTAAGCAAGCATCTATTGCATTTGCATGCGTTAGAGGTTGCAACTCATGCCATTTGTATCGAACCATGGACTCGACGATGCAGCCAAGGAAATGGGTGTCTGCACGTACAGTTCGTGAGGTCACTACACTTTTTACTGACAACAACACATACATCTCTCTCTCTGTCTCCATTTCATTCGGAATATTGGATTGATTATCTGATGGACTCGCGGTTATCATCTCTAATAGTAATATTTGCATTATTGGAATGTGAATAGGGAACATTTTATCCAGGGAAGTGATACATTTCAAATTTTGTTTTCCCTGAGAAAGACTATTGTCTGTGCTTAGTGCTTCCTCAAAAAGAAGCTTGAGTCCATTGCAAAAGTCAAAAGCTAATTAATAATAATAAATGAGGTTTGACTTAGGACTGAAAATAGGACAGAGAAAAAGTTTGGCATTTTTACCAGGGAAGTAGGGGAAGTTGCATTTTTTAGTTGAAAGCCGAGGCATTTGCCATCATCCGTCTGCAATACTACCTTAAACTGTTGAGACAAAGGACGCGGAAACTCGGAAAAACCCATGGGCATATATGCACAAGCACAACACAGGCACTGCTAGCTCTTAAACGAAAGTTCAATTAGTTTAAAAAAAATATATCCGTTTGATTTTCAGTAGTAATTGGAATTGGAATGTTCTATTTATATAGTTTGTGCAGATAGAAAATTAAATTGGAATAAGTTGGAATGAAATTTCATTTTCAAGAAGAAGGGAGGAAATGGCCATTCCCTTAAATGGTATTCCAACTCTGCGAATCAAACAATTGATTTATTCTGATTCCAATTCTAAACCCTATTCTTATCATCCAAACAGATCCTAAAAATCTACTATAATGCATTCAATAATGTGGGTTGACTCTTAAATCCAAATTTAGTTTACTTTGGATAACATGTCTTTTGTTTCACTCCAGTAAATGCATTGTAAATTTTACCCTCAAAAAAAATAAAAAGTAAATGCTCTTTTTAATTTGCTCAGAACCACAAATTAATCCCCTCACTTTTTGAACACTCTAAAATCTCGTATAAAAATCGAAAATTTAAAATCACATATTTTCAACCAAAAAAAGGAAAAAACCATGTATGAAATACATACTTTTAGATTGCACGGTTCAAATACAACCACACTGCAAGCTATTTGAGGGGCTGTTGAAACGAATATGATTTTCTTGTCAAAACAAAAACAATTACCACGTCAGCAAAAAAAAGTAAAAACCAATAAATATTTTAAGTATGCAGTCCACTCCAAAAATCTTAGGTCCACCGTATAATTGGGATAGGTGTCCCGATCGGAATTGATGCTAATTTACGAGTGTTATAGGTGAAGGTATTTATAATTTTTGATTATTACAGATCAGTTCAATTCAGAATTCTGATGGAATGCAGTCAACCCGATAATATTGTTTCTATCGATGCGACAGTTGATTTTGATTAGAAAAAAAAATCTGAACACCCCAACATGCATGTATTTTCATTTTTCAACCAAACACTTATTTTTTAAAGGCTTCATGAAAACCATCCACTACCAACGGATGGTGGTTCAGTTGCTAGAATCAAGAAAGAAAGAAAACCACCTAGCGATATGCACAAACAGTCCGAGTCATCACCAACTCAGTATCTATGCTAGCTAGACTCAAATGTCTCCTCTGTTGTAAGTTGTAGCCATATGTATCTTATCATAACCTTCTGATAGAATCCGAGCTCTGCATCAATACATCATCTCTACCCGTACACATTTGTTGTCAATAAGAACTATGGTCGGATCATGGAGTGCTTAAAAACCACTCAAACAGCAGGCAAGACGCCGACACTCTATGACGCGATAACAGGGCTCCAACCCAGTAAGGGATTAGTTCTTTTACAGGTAACCTGGAGATCGACAACTCAGTTCCAATCTTTTGAACCGGTGAGCACAGCGGAAGGCTGGGTTTGCTGGGATTAATGATGACCTTAGTGTGGAACTGCCAAAGGCTATTCTCACGCCGAAAGCGCATCTTAAGAACCATGCCTCGGATATAGTCATCCTCATGGATACAAAAATAAGAAGCTCTACGCAGGAGTTGTATTCTACCCGACTACCCGTTATGTGTATTAACTCCAGGCTGGCCCGGCCTGGCCTCCGGACGGGTTTGAACATGTTTATAGGTCCGCGAGTTTAAATTCGGGTCAAAAAGTTCGGTCTGTAATAAATTTGAGTGGGACTCGGGTTTTGTCAAAATAGTTCGGTCTGAGCCCGGTCCGGTCCGACTTAAAATTATACTTAAAATGGGTTATGTGATTAATGTCCATTTGAATAAATTTTTTGATTTAAGAATGTAAAACTGTGTTTTAAAACATAAGAGAAAGGGAAAAAAAAACATTTTATAGGCCCATTATTCATTTAAATAGGAAAAAAAAGCCATCTGAATTTTTAATTCTAATATGAATAGGGAAAATTGTAATTTTTTTATTAGGTCAGGCTTTGGGCTCGGGCTCGGGCTCGGGCCTAGTGTATTTCCATTAATGATGAGTAAAAGCTCGGCCTGGCCCATGAACAAGTCTAATGTTCATACCAGCATACCAATGAAGTGGCCTATGGAACCCTACTTTTCATAACAGGAGTGGATTTAATGACTCACTATAAAAAGGACACTTAGCATGATTTAAACCTAAGAACCCAGGTCGTCAAACACCCAAGATTACATGCATCCTTAACCACTAAATCATCTTTTATTTTATAATAATAAATTATCTTTTATTAATGTTAATATCTAGATGCAATCCAAATGAACAACATGCACTTATGTCCAATAACTCTAATTACAAATTAAAAAAAATTATTATTTTATAAATTAATGAAATAAAAATAATCTATCAAATCCATATTTATTACAAAAAATGATTTTTAACTTCAAGAAATTTATACAAATAAAAATATTAATAATATCATAATTATTTTATTACTTAAAATTTATAAATTTATGTGATATGTATCTTAATTTTTTATAAATTATTAATTAATATCTTAATTTGCATTAAGTAATAATGTATTTATTATTTACAAAAATAAAATATTATTTAAAAAAATATTTGAGAATATAATATAATTGAATCTATCAAATTCTCTAGTATATATTTATATCGAAAAATTATTTTTTATTTTAGAAAATTTATAAAAAAAAATATCAATAATGGAATAATTATTTTTAGTACTTAAAATTTATGTGTTTTCATATGATATGTATCTTCAAGATTTTAATAGATTTGATATATTTTAAGATTATATGTTTTTATAGATTATTAATTGATATTTTATAATAGCATATTGATTGTTTACAAAAATGAAAATATTGTTTACCAAACATTTTAAAATTAATTTTTAGTTAATTTTTTCTTAATGTTAAAACTTATAAATAGAAAAATAGAAATAATTGAAATAATAATTCAAATATAATAGTTGCATATGTTTTGTGCCTTGGACATTAACAAAAATAAAATAATAATATGGCTTTGTGCATAATTTGTAAAAATCTATACAATATGTGTTTTGGACACTTGATTGATGCATTATCAATAAAATTATATGATATATTCACCCCACTATATTAATTGTAATATATTTCTTCATATATACCATTAGAACATACAATTCCTATATATTTATACATTATTTATAGTTATTTTGACATTTAACTTAATGCTATTAATATATTAATGAAATTTGTATGCATTTTCCTAGTGTATCCAAGTATTTCCATATTTTTTGTCCATATCTATTTGTTTTCCAAAGTGTATTCATATCTAAATTGTTTAATACAATACCCGATACCGATACCTTGATCATTGGCTCTAGAGTCTCAAATCTTCTATACAAACAAGGTTTCTTAGAGTTTGTTGGAGTGGATTCTAAACATCAATTTGGTGAGATTATGGTGGCTTGAAGGGATAACATCCTTGGTAATTGCAAGCTTGCTTATAAACATACCATACATCTCTCTTTTAGTAGTGTGGAGTTGAGTGAGTTGTGGCTTTGTTCTTTCGTCTATGGTGCCCCGAAGTAGGGGTGGCAAATGGTTGGGTTGGGTTGGGCTGGGTTGGGCTGGGTTGGGTAAGGGTTGAATACCAACCCACCAACCCACCATGACCCATCATCGATCCTTGTTAAAGGGTCATAATCCACCCTAACCTTGACCCACCCATATTGACCGATTTGACCCATCCATATTGACCCTTAACTACCCTCGCCCATTCTGACCCACCTATCCTCACCTATAAATACAAAAATGAGTTGAGATGGCCCGTATACCCGA